CTAGACTCTATTGCATTGGGTCTATGTTTAATTATATTTGTGGGGGTGGTTGGATTTAATATTTATGTATCTTAACTTCGCATTAGGTTTTATGTACATGGAGACACTGCCAGTGAGAAAGTTTAATTCAACGTCCAAATAACAATTTTTTTATTTATATTGACTTTTATTTCAAAGTCAAGGTTTTTAAAGAGCTTAAAAAGTGCTTTTCTAATAGTGTCATTGGTTCTTTTTTTTATTTTGTGTTATCATTAGGCCATCATCTCTATGTAGACCATGGTTGTTTATATGTACAATCTTGTTAATTTCTTATAAAATATAAGGCATATTCAGAAATTTCAGCACCATCAAAGGAACCTTGTGCTATGTCAAATACATCTTTTTTTGATATTTTTAATCCAGGTTGTTCTGTTGTTATTATAACACCTGTTATTTTTTTAAAGGTAATTGCGTAGCGTTCTTTGTGGTTTTGTAGTGAACAGCCCCATAGAAGCAAGCGAGCCAGAGTGGCTTGCATCTGGTGCATAGGAAAATAAGGGTCTTACCTTAACGGGTGGCACATGACACCGGCAAGTTTGCCCTGTGAAAATGGCATTACTCTCCCGTCTAGCAGTATGTGTGGTAACAAGGGTTTTTGTACAGTTTGGTGTGTAAATTCTATAATAAATACAAGTTAAATATTATATATATATAGATATATATATATATATATATATATAATATTTAACTTGTATTTATTATAGAATTTTATTCGGCTTAATTACACAAGACACTATCAGATAAGGAATATGGTAATGAGGGATAGAAAGATGTGTTGCACCAGTCGGTACCATATAGGTATGTACCTCAGCCACCAAGAATTACTAAGTTTAGTTTAGTTCAGCACAAATAGGGAGAAATGGGTCAGTGGGCAGAAAGTTTGGGTAACATCAATCTTCCAAGATGATAGTGTCTGTCCACTTCCCTTGAAAATCAGCATTCACAATACTGCATGTCACTTGGATCTGAACATTAACTACTGGTGCTGATAGAAAATGCAACTGCCTCAACCAAGCAAACACATTGCTATTTATTATGTGTTCATTTGTATATCTAACAACCTTTCGCTATTCATTGTGTGCAATGTCAATTCTCATTTCGGGATTGATACTTACAAATTGAATTATATCAAAATGAATTTACTCAGCATCCCCAATCCATTTTTATTTTTATATCTAATGTTCATGTGCTGTACTTTGATTGAAATGTTTTTTTTTCTGTGAGAACGTTTGAACTTTGAAGTTATTTCATTTCTATATGTAAGCATATATATGTGTATCTATGCATGCCCTTAGCAATTACTAGAGCTTGTTGATGTTACAACATGAGATCTTGCCCTGCTTCGATAAACGGAAGTTACCATCACGCGTCCCCGACTCGAAATAAAAACTGCACGTCTACGCATAGGCTCGACACAGATACTTCCGTTTGGGATAAATTAAAAAAAAAATGAAAAGAATTAAATCAACCAACTGTCTCCCGCGTATTCAAAAAATTGCCATTTGGAGCCGATAGGCGTGTATAAGTTCAACACGGGGAAAGTCAAAAGGGAGTCCCATTCAACGACGGAGGAGAAGGGTCATGTCGCTCGCTCCTGACACACTGGCTCGGCGATGAAACAAAGCATGTGACCACTGCTGCTAATGAACTCTCATCCGACGCTTTGTCAAAGGGTACCTTTCCCCTTCCATAAGTCAAGTTAACTCCACGAACTTTACTTGCCACTACCATAGACACTCAACTTCTTAAATACGAACCTTTTACTTGTTCTTATTTTCCTCACTAAAAAGACTATAAAATATATCTACAGTCTTTCTTGTTCTTTCGATTCTGAATTTCATTGTTTGCAACCAAACGCAGTATTTCGCCCACATTGTTTTCACATCGCCCACGTAACTAAATACGGAATATAACATTGAGTTTATACATAAAGGCATAACTCAGTAACTCCCTTCTATACAAAACAAACTCATTTATAAATATCCTGGAGTATAGGAGAATATGATATATAAATTTCTATCTATCTATGTGACAATGCTAAATTTAAATTTTGTCTTAGCAAAGATTTAGCATATCTGTTGTTAGAGTTTCTTGAACCTGCTCCCTTCAAAAATATTTTACCTAAACAATAAACATATTTTCAATATACTGATGACACTTTATTAATATATCACTGCAAAACAATATTGCCTGACCTTGTAAATAGACTAAATAAAGTCAAACATTGATAAAATTTACTTACAAAACAGAAATAAATAATACTTTTCTTCAATATCATGTTAAATCATACCAATAGTAACCTAAAACTGTGTCTCTTATAAAATTTAATAATAAAAGTGTTCTTGTAAATTTCTATTCTCACCATAACAACAAAATAAAATTCAGAATAATTATTAGATTCTCTTTAATAGCACTCAGAATTTGTAGCCCTCATTATTTATGTGACAAGAAAGACATTGAAAATACTTTTGAACTCCTCCAATACCCTAATTATTTCATATTTAATTCAAAACAGAGAGATCATCAAAATTTTAAATATAAAAGAATGAATCATACATAGAAATAAACTTAACAAAACCAGATACCTAGCAACTCTGTCACATCTATAATGGAAAAGAATTTCACTATGCTTTTTTCTTTTTTTTTTAATCATTTCCCTGCAAGCAAGACAAGCCACTAGGATGCAAGGGGTTAATCAATGTTAGAGAATATAAGAAAAATCTACTATTAAGGAGAGAGGACATTTTATTGAATTAAGACTACAGAAGATGGCGGTTGACATTGAAGTTTAAGGGTAGATAAAATTGACATAAATTTTGTTACAACTACTTTTAAAACAATAAGAGACTTAATTAATACAAATCAAAATAACAGCAACCCAAAACCTGAAGCAGGAATTAACTCTATAGCTTGTAATGATTGCCAGAAGTAATATAAAGGAAATGCCTTGAGGAATTTAAATAAAAAATTATATGAACACAAAAGAGATCTTTTACAAAAAAATACTCAGTGTATTAATCATTCACCATAATGAGTTTGACCATTACTAAGGTGAGATGTATAGAAATTGCACTGATTGTTAAATCATCCACAGTAAATTTGCATCCAGGTTCTGAGAACATTTCACCTTTTTTGGCAGATCTTCTATTGTCACAATATGAGGTACTTAAAAACAAAAGAAAAGCATCAAGAAACTGAATGAGATTGGCTAGATTCTGTGTCCAGACACATCTGACAAAAAATATCTTTAAAACTTAAAAAAATTTAAAGTTTAAAACCTTACAATTTAGTGTTCCCACATTTTCAGCACTTCCCCTCAGTACATAATTATAATTGATGCTCCAATTTGTATCTCCCACTCCCTGTATACATATATAATTTCCTCAATACAAACATTACTTTAGTCCAATGAACAGAATTTTTCAACTTTGTCGTATCCTGGAGCATGAATCAAATCGGTCTCCAGAAGTAATGATTCTACAAAAGCAACCTAGTGTTTTTGATATAGATTTTTAAACAAAAGAAATTGCCAATGATGATTTGAAAGTTTAAGAAAAAGTGATTTAAGCTTAAGAGATTCACCACAAACAGTTTGTCCTCTTTAACAATGATCTGCTTTTGTTTGAACTCAATAGAAATGTGGCAATTGAAGAATTGACTCAAAAACTATTCAGTGGTTCATCGTTATTTTCAATACCTTGGAAAGATGCCCACACTTGGAAAATGGTTTCCTAATGATTTGATAGAAGCCAACTGTAACAGAAGTGGGTATCTGCACTTTTTTGTGCACTCATCTCATCATTTCACTCAGGCAGATTAATAACTGTTGATATATTATAAGAATATAAAATAATGTGGAAAATGGTTTAGTAGAGGTGAAAACAGAAGCACAATACAAAATGAACCTCTATCTGAGGAATTTTCTTAAATTTTGCACAGAGTATTGCATAGAGTATTTAAATACTACTTTGAAGAAAAATAAACCCAGTTTGATCAATTGCAAAGTTGTGAAGTGATAATAATGTACAGAACACATATGAAAAATAGAAATCTTAAAGTGGGAAAAAATTCTAGAGTCTCTTTACTCTCCAGATCTTGTTCCATCTGATTATCATTTACCCTACAGATTACAGAAACATTTTGATGGTCTAGTTTTTAATTAGTTTTTAAACTGAAATCTAAATTCGCTCCTCCAAACCAAAAGACTTTTACAAAAATTAGGTTTTTTTTTCTGATCTTCAGTTCAAATATTACTTATGGATTGACCTGATAGAAAGAGATTGAGTGAAAGCAATGCTGCACAATTCTCTTATGTTTTGATCCAATTTCACATGCTACAGTATCAATTTCCTAAGATTGAGTTTTCAGTCAGAAACAAGTGACAGCTATCATTTTTCTTGGCAACTCTGTGTGTGATGTACAAGAAGACTTTGCCAAACTACCTGCATTGAGTAAATTTGGCACTAGAAGGTATCTCTAAATATATATGTAATTTACTGTTGTTTTTGTTTTTCCTCTACATATCCTTACCAAGTGAACGAAACTGGCAAGTGTTAGGCTGGGTGGTTGTTACATGCACACTCCTTGTATTAGAACTCACAGCATAATTATTTTCATCTTCTTTTTTACTCTACTTTTTCATGAAAAAAGAAGTAAAAATCTTCTTCACCGTTCATTTTGGTATTTTTATTCCCCTTTTTTAACATTTACAGTTGGTACACTTTACCAAGTGAATTCCTAGAAGCATACTAATTCATCTCAGCATTTCCTCATAATGAAACTCTCTTCAGACCAACATAATTTTACTCTTGTCTGACCACTCCCACTCAAAAATATAACTGTCTTGTTTTAACCATCTTTATTTTCTATTCTACATATTTTTCTACATCTTTAACATTTTTAATATATTTTAGCTGCTATAGCCTTTGTTATTTTTTGTTTTTTGTTGGGGTTCTTTTCAGAAGAACAGTCATCTGCTGACAATAAATGAAAGAGTTCTTCTGCAAGTCATTGATATTTTGTGTCAAATGGCATCTACATCCAATGGCAGAAAGCATTTGCTTTTTGGAGAAGACAAAGACCTTTTGTCCAAATCCTTGTAAGTTTATTTATTATTAGTTTTCAGTTTAAACATTTACCAAATGATTTCCATTATTTTATTATTCTTATTATTTTTCTTTGTTCCATGCATGTACCTTCAGAAAATATTCTTAACACAACATTGCATCTAGTGATTTTTAAATATTTTCCTTTTTATCATCAGGAATAAATTCAACTTCATCTACACTTGTCACGATAGAACATTAGTTTAAAATTTTCATTCACAAAAGATGAATGAATACGTAAATGTTGATTACAAAGCAAATATCCTTTTTCTTTGTTCTCAGTCAATCAGTCTGGAATTGCAAAGATTATATAAAATAAAACTGTCAATGAGAGCATTCTTAATTTTCCTAATATTTGCATTTTTTCATATTGCACATGGTCTCAGTGATCATCATGGTTAAGAGCATAAAACCAAATCTTAATTCAAAATTTAAATTAGTGATTTCACTTTTCTTCTCATGTCCACCTTCTCACCAAATCCATTACCTGCTCACAATTTACAAGTCACCTAAAATTACATTCAGAGCTCCCATAACAGAATCATCCACTGTACTAAATCTATTGCTTGCTTACTGATTTTCAATCAAAAGCAGCTACATTGAAGCATAATAAATTATATTCATTGCTTATTAACTTTTTTATAAGTCTTCTGAGATGAAATCTAGACCAACATAAATTTTCTCACTGAATTAAATTTATTATCTCCTTTCTCACTGACTCTGGGACCTAATAGATAATGTCCATTGGCTATTTAGCAATATCTTGAGATTCCATTCACTGCAACCAGGACAGAATCTCCCATTTTGCAACTTACTACATTAAATTCTTTACCTGGCTATTTGTTACATGCTTTTGGGATGCTATATACAGCTCCCAGAATCAACCACTTTGTGTCTCAATGAACTATATTCATAGGCTCCTCAATCTTTATATATCATCTGAGATTAACTTAGTGCTTCTACTTTTGAACCCATTGGATACAATCCATAGAATTTTCACTTGTTTTGGGGGGGGGATTTTTTTTTTGAGAGTGCATTCAGAACACCACCTAAATGCATGTACTAGGATTTTCTTTTGGCATGTCAAATTATGGAAGTTTCATGAATTAAATTCTTCTTCTCAATTTCCATATTGTTTAAAGTCATTATGTGTCTTGTTTAATAATTTTCCTCTTTATTATAAGTTTTTCCTTTTCTTTACACACACCATTCATACAACAAATTGTCCAATGTTACTATTATTTATTATTGTTCTTTTCTTATCATGCCTAATTTATAAATTAACCTTTATCAATATATATATATATATATATATATGGTATATACAGATTTCAGTAATATCCAAAGTTTTAGGTATCCTGTAGGGGTTTTGTAAAATATTCCTTTAAATAGGGACTACTGTATTTATGCAAATCAATCTCACAAAGATTAGATGAAAGTTTTGAAAAAAATCATTAACTGCTCACCAAAAGATTTTTGCTCTGTAATTTTTAGACTCATAAATATTCTTTTATAGAAGTTATGATTTAGGTTTTTGTTTCTCTCATTCTTTTTTATTTTGCAGGAATTCTGCTGCCCATAAAATTGCTGAATTTTGTAGTCTTTGTCTCAAAAGTTTGACAACTGGGAAATATTCAAAGTTGCCATCTCAAAAAGTTATCAGTGAGTCATTGTACCTGTGCCGTTTACTCTACAACACATGTGAAGGATTTTATGTTCTTCAAGACTACAAATTACATATTGTCATCATGGAAGCCTGGAAAAAGGCAAGTTTTACAAAAAGCAAAGATATTGGTTTGGCCAAAACATTTCTGTTTTATTTTTGTTTTTTGGGGGGTTTTTGTTAGATAGCATTACATGTGGTTAGTTTTAACTACATTTTTAAAAATCACAAGTGATTTTATTGTGATAGCTGTCATGACAGAGCATTTTTAAAATATTTGTAAAAATTAATGTAATATTGCTTATTAATTCAACAACAAAAGAAATTATTCTCTGCGTCAGATTTTATCTTAAGAAAGGTAAAATTGCAGCTCAAGCACAGAAAACGATTTTTACTATTTTTTGTTAATGAATAAATGTATCAAAACTAGCTTAAAAATTTTCATCCTGGAGATTTCTTGCTAAATGATACTCAAATTTTGGTAAAACAGTTGAGGTTAATAACTATCTTGAAAATAACTAATATCAGATGAAACAAGAGATAACCAACATACTAAAAATATCCAAGTGTTGAAAGCTGTTTCCAGCCATTTCTTTATTTATGGTTTCCACATGTACAAAATAAACTTACTGGATCTTATTTAAATGTCATATTTTAAAACAAATTGTGATTGCTAATGATGTTTATATGCAATGCAAGAGATTATGAAAAAAATGGAACAAAATTGCAAATTTATTATTTAATAAAGTTACTATCAAAATTAAAAATGTATTTGATTTTTCTCATTAATCAATCAGGACAAACATTTTTTGAAGTAAAAAATAATTTGACAGGACTCCTCAAAACAAATACTTATCTATTTTTATCAGTTTTATTTTCCTTCACAATATTTCATTCCATTCATTCTCTTTGGCTTTCTTCAAGTGATATTTTCTCAAATTTTAAACCTGTGCCTGGTCTATTAACTAAATAGCTTTGTGGGATGTCACAAACAGACTATATTGTTTTCTAGAATATATAATATACCATTTTTCTCCAATGTTCAAGATAATTGTACTTTTCAACTTTAACCAAAGAGTGAGTTTTTTCTTGTTTATTAAAAATTTTTTGATGCTGTTTATAATAAAACTTGCTTTAAAAATGGCAGGTCCAACTTATATGGTGATCTTTTTTGTCTTTAATAAATATTTCCTGTTTAAATATTGAACACAGAATGTTAGAAATTATAATGTTTTCATTACTTACATAAACTTTGACTCTACTATTTCCAGGCATGTTTGGAATCTGAAAGCACAGCCACTCCTGTCCCTACTGACACAGACAGTGATGACAGTTTCTCTTCAGAGAGGTAAGGTTAATATCAATAATTGTATCTCAAGAATAATCAAAAGCCCAAAATGACTTTCCAGCTCTTGTGATTTAAAAGTATTGCTAGATAACTGATTTTGATAGACTAACTCAGATGATTATGTCTGCCATTTGTGACATAAATATTTACCCATTATTTTAATATAATTTGAAACATACCTTTTTGTAAACATAGTTTTTAACTTTGCACAAAGGCTTCCTAATATTCATTTGGTTTATTATTTACAGTTTAATTAAATATGGCACTCAAACAAAATGGGATCAAATTGTCACATTGAAAATGGCTGGTATGAAAAATTGTGATGTTTGCTGTTTTTAATGTGTGGAAAAAGTTTCAAGAGGAACAGAAAATGTTCAGATCATTGCAGGAGAGTCATTGAAGCCATCAAGATGTTGATGAGAAATCCACAAAGAAACATGAGCAAAAGTGTTCATATATTGAATAGTTCACTAAGGAGGATTGTAAAAGGATTTAGAGCTAAAACCATACAAGATTCAATGATGACAGCTGCTCTCAAGTGCTTTCAAGCAAAAAAGGGAGGGAAAAAATATTGGAAATGCAGCATTCTGCAAACAAATTCTTCATCTAGTCAGATAAGAAGTTTTCCAAAACAATATTGTTTATACCACTTCACCAGAAAACATTCTCAAGGTATAAAAACACATTTCAACCAACAGAAACCAACTGATATCATGGGTTAGGCTCTGCAATTGTTTCAGCCTGTTTGAAATTGCCCTTGGTGTTTATTGAAGAAGTAAAAGGAAATAGCAGAGTTTACCATCAAATGTTGGAGAGAGATGTGTTGCCCTGGTTGTCTGCTACACTTGGATGTTGCTATGTCTTCCCTGAAGATGGAGTTCCTGCACACTCAGCCAATTTGATGCAAAACTGATGCAAGAAACATATCCGTGGATTTCTCTGACAAGTCAATTTAGCCTCCATCAAGCTCTGACATTAATTCTATAGACTTTGTGATATGGCCCATATTGGATAGCAATGTTTCACATATACTCAAATATGTCAGACCTGAAGCATGGTCTTATGATGTCATTGTACAATTTTACCAAAGAGGTGGTGAAGAAGTCCTGCACTTCAGTTAAAAAGATATTAAGAGCTAATGAAAGCAAGTGGTGGCCATTTTGAATTGTAAATATCTATAAAATATGGTCAATAAATATAACAATCAACCAGTAATCTTTCATTAGCCAAAACCTAAAACTTTCTATTTTATGATAAAATGAATAATAGGTAAATGTATATGCCACACCTGGTATGCTATTATTTTACTTATTTGTATATATGACTGTTACACTAACTTGGATTAGCAATATCTTCCCTATCTCTAGACTCAGTTACATATTCTAAGAAACCTACATTTTGTCATTTTGGAGTCTTAAAACTAACATCTGTACTTGGTAGAATTTTTAAGTGTCCTTTCTAAATTAGAGGCTCCCAGATGGTGCTAATCTCTATGTGAGGTCCACTGAGAGGTTTTTTCACAGCCTAACATGTGCACTGATTCTTTCAGTTATCTTATACTACAGTGTTGTTGTCTATCTCTTAATTTAATAGTATCTGAAGGATACCATTTTTGCTTACCTTAAAAAAAACAACTAAATATTTCATCTTACAAATTCTAAACATTCTAGAAATAACTTGAAAGTAACACGAATAGAAAAAATTTGATTTTGCTTGTCTCATGGATTGGTGTTTGGTAAAATTGTACAAATTTCAAATTCTCTTGGTTAATTTTATACAGATTTTATGCAAAAAGTTCTTGAATTTTTCTAACAGAAACATCAGTTGTTTACCTTGAAATCTATGCTATTTTATAATAATTATTCGTATATAAATGTTGTGTTTGCTCAATTGATGTTATTCTAGTGGTCCCAATTGGGAACTGATCCTGCAAGACAACCTATTGAGTGTGGCAAGCTGTGCTAAGGGAGTCCTGCTTCTGGAACAGTTAGGCCTGCTGTATCAGTGTGCTGCATATATGAACAGTCGTGTGTCAAAAGAACTCCAAGTAAGGAATTTTAATTTACATTTACTAAGGATTTTACATTAGTGAGATTGTTTACTGCTCTATCTCATACACAAACATGCATGCTGAAAAGTTCTCAGCTTGTGCTGATTTCTTGAAATCAGTATTTCAATGACCAAACAAAAGAATTCTGATGTTGGAGTAGTGGATCAAATCTTTAGAACATTTTTTGTATACTGACATTCCAAAGGTTATGGGTAGGGGTTTTTTTATACTAAAATTAATCAAATACAAGGCTGAAGCAGTTTTTTGTGATCATGAGATCAGGGCAGAGTGTGGTGAACAGTCAAGTAGAAGCAAGCAATCTGGTGTAAAGGAAAATAAATGTCTTACCTCAACATGCAGCTTATGGCATCAGCATTTTGTTCCTTGAAAATGGCATTAATCTCCAGCCAGACTATTCCAGCAGTATATGCTGTAACAGGTCTATTTTACAGCTTGACATAGTTCGACCAATAGCAAGTCGTGTGCTGATTGGTCAGATTGGAGACAATCACCTTTAGCCCTAAAGAATAGAGTGGCAGAATACTCAGTACCTGACTATGCACAGGATGAATATGAGATGGAGCTTCAGCTATGGCTGGATAATGGATGAGTGTGGCCAACTGAAGACGAACTTGGCCCACCTAAGTGTCTAATCCCATTAATGGCAGTGATACAAATGAGCAAGCAGAAGGTCTGTCCAGTACTGTATTACCAGAAATTAAATGGTTTTGTGAAGCTATATACCACTAACTTGGAGGTATGTGCACACTAGTTGCTGGTATGATGACAAGTGGGGGCTAACATGTCTTTATTGGACTTACAAAGGGCATATCTGAAAGATACATGTTGAAAATGCACTGTGGCCCTATCCAACTGTCAGATTGAAGGGTCAAAGATACTGCTTCACCCAACTGGTCTTCAGTTTAAATGTGGCACCCATCATGAAAACTGTAATTGATGCGGTACTGTCTCAAGATGAAGACATTGTGAATGCCACATCAGCATATATTGATGATATTTATGTCAACGAAAGTTTGATTCCTGTCACCAATGTGAGATTGCATTGTCCAAGTATGGACTAGTATGCAAAGAGCCAACACGATTAGGAGATGGAACTAAGGTATTGGGCTTGCAGGTCTGGGGTGATAATGGTAGAGATATTCCTGATATTTCTACAAAGATAACTCGCCAGCACGTTCTCCATATGTGGGCCACTCTTCTGTTTGTGGCTGGCTGTGAGTGGCCACTGCATTTGTGAAGTGACAAGCAAGCTCTCTAACCATAGGATGGGATGATGAAGTTGAGGATGCCTCTCCTAATTGCATGCTAGCTGATATAATAGCCAGAATACGTGAAGCCAATCCAGTAGGAGAAGACTGGTGTCTGAGTGGCCGCGAAATGAACATGTGGGTAGATGCAAGTTCTGTAGCCACAGGAGTCGTACTAAAAGTAAATAGAAACATCATTGAGGATGCGTCTTGGCTGCACCCAGCTGGAGATCTAAGCACGTCAATTTGGCTGAGCTAGACGCAATGATAAAGGGTGTCAATTTGGCTCTTCAATGGCAGGTGTCCACATTACATCTTTTTACTGATTCAGTATGTGTTCATCAGTGGATTTTGAATGCCTTAATTGGCAAGACATGAATAAATATGAAGGTATCTAGTGAAATGCTAGTGCAAAGACGGTTGAACACACTTTGCAATCTTGTGGCTGAATATGGCTTGACAGTGGACATAACACTGGTCAAATCCAATCTGAATCTGATGTACTGGCTTACCAGGGTGCCACAGAGTTGAAAAACTACAGAATGAGGAAACAGAACCAGTGAAGTCAGTATGTGCTACTACAAAGACCAATTTAGATGCACATCAAGTGGCTAATATCCACCAACAAACCATATACCCAGGTATAAAAAGGACCCCCCTGTACTTTGTTAGGTTGATAGATCCTTCAGTATCGTCAGAAGTTGTAAAATCAGTTGTCAAGGAATGTGAGGCTTGCCAATCCATTGATCCAGCTCCAGTGCTGTGGCAAAAATGAGAGGTGGATATGAGTGACAACTGGAGTAGGTTGTCTATGGACATCACCCACCATGGTAGTAAGCACTTTGTGATAATCATTGATTGTGGACCTTCTCGATTCATGATATGTTGACCACTATATAGACAAGATTCTACAAGTGTAGTTTGTCAGTTGGAGTCAATTTTTTATGAACAGGGGCCACCACTCGAGATATTGATTGACAATGATATAGTATTCACCTGCAACCATTTCAAGATTTTTTTGTGTAATTGGGGTGTATGTTTGCAGTTCTGATGTAGCTATGCACCTGCCAGGAGTGGCATAGTAGAAAGAAGTCACTGAAGCATCAAAACCATTGCAGCTAGAAAACGGTGATCTATACCAGAGGTGGTCTGCTGGTATAATGTCAAACCTAAAAATAATTGCTCGCCTACTACAGCACCAGCTGATGCGCTTCATAGGTACCATACCTGCATATGGATATGGTACCATCAAGGCCATGACCCCCACCCCTGAACCTCAGAATAATCAAGGAGCATATGAAGTGAGAGACATTGTTTGGGTGAAAACTCCCCATGGAAGATACATGTCTAAGTTAAGAAGAGGTCACATGACTCAGGTTAATAGTCCACAGTCAGTGCACATCAATGGAGTTTTGCATCATGTGAAGGACTTGCATCACTTCATGGGATCGATCCCAACATCTACACAGGACAGCGATTCTGAAGGGTGTGAGCAGTTAGTAAATTTGAGATCAACCCCATCAAACTGATCACTCTCCCAATACTGAATTTTTTGAAGACGAAATAACCTTAGAGGATGATTCCCCAACTGTCAGTGGTGAACATACTAATGTGGTATGTCCTGCTAGCTCCCCTGGTGACAATTCATCTGAGAAGGAAGCTTGTATTGCTCCACTTTGGCAGGGTACCCAGAAAAAACAACCTGAATTTTTGAAATCAGGGGTGTCTGTGGTGAACAGTTATGTAGAAGCAAGCAAGCCAGAGTGGCTCACATCTGGTACAAAGGAAAATAAGTGTCTTACCTCAACATGCAACATGTGGCATCAGCATATTGTTCCTTGAAAATGGCATTAATCTCCAGTCAGACTATTTCAGCAGTATGTGCTGTAATGGTGGATTTTTGTACAGCTTGGCACAGTTCGACCAATAGCAAGTCATTTGCTGGTTGGTCAGACTGGAGGAGGCTATTTGCCTGGGTAACTGAGAACAAAGGTGAAGAACGCTGATTGTTTTGGTCGGCCATGGCGTTGGCTTGATAAAAGAGGGCTGAAGCAGTGAAACAGCAGAATGGTTTTATGTGGGTGGAGTGTGCAGAACTCAAGAATGGCAGATTGAACAAGCAGTATCTTGTGTTGTACAAACGACGTCTGAGGAATAGAGACCTATTTAACTACAGCCACCTAAGATAGAGGAGTATTACTATTAAAATGGTAATGATGAATGAAATAGATTGTGGTAGGAAATGAAGATTGAGTATAAGAAGGAAAGATAATTATTGATTCTTGACTTCAAGAGATTAATATTCTATTGTTCAGGAAATCAACCATGTATAAGTCTGTTCCACAAAGCCATCTGAATGGAACTTTCTCCTATGTTAATATCCTATAAAAAAAATAATATAGTTTCTCTTATAACAATTTTGGGCAAAAAAAAAATATAGAAAGGTTTTTTATAGGATATTAATATAGGGAAATTTTTAGGAAGAAACTTTTCAAATGATTTCAGAAATCAGGAGTTGATCTATACAAAGCATGGATGTGTGCAAATATTGTGTGGTCAACAAATTTGTTTTTTTAAGTAAAAGCAAAAGACAAATTATTTATTTTCAGCATTAACTGTATTGAATAATATATTTACCATTTTCTATTGTTTTCCATCCTTCAGGTAAGTTCATAATTCCATCCTCAAAAACTTTTTTATCTTTCTTTGAAAAAGAACTGATTAAAGTTCCTTTTATCTTCTTCCAGGGAATTGAATATTTTTCTTCAGAGAATTGGTAAAGATTAGAATAAATAGTAACGATTAGAAATAAAAATTAGAATAAATAGTAACAATTATGAATAAAGATTAGAATAAATAGTAACGATTAGGAATAAAGATTAGAATAAATAGTAATGATTAGGAATAAAGATTAGAATAAATAGTAACAATTAGGAATAAAGATTAGAATAAATAGTAACAATTAGGAATAAAGATTAGAATGAATAGTAACGATTAGGAATAAAGATTAGAATAAATAGTAACGATTAGGAATAAAGATTAGAATAAATAGTAATGATTAGGAATAAAGATTAGAATAAATAGTAACCTGCAGATGCAAAATTTGTCAAATATAGTTAATGAGTAATAATTTCCCAGACAAGCTGTAACAATTTTTCACTGATCACTTAATAAATGTTGTCTGTTGTTATCCTAATGAAATACACTCTTTATTTTAACTAATTTCAATATTTATTGATACAGTATGATCTTGTTTGGATGAAGGCTGAACTTTGGTACCATTAGTGGTGGTATAATTTGTTTACCTTTATAATATGTTGCATTCCATATTGTTTTAAAATATCAGCTTTTCATTGCTTGTCTCAATTTGTTTCAACAGAACATTTTCCTTCCATTTAAATAGAAAATCACAAAGAAATTCAGTCCAAAAGACTTTTTTTTCATTGAACTGACATAAAAGTCATACATTAAAGCAAGTCACACAACCCAGTTGGTTCAAATTATTTCCAATGCTTGATATGAGTATGTAGGCTAATCATCTACAATATATGTTGATTATTCTTTAATTCCATTTGATTATTATCTACCTCAGTTAGTCTGTCCAGTAGTAGAGAATCAATAGAAATCTCCAGTTTATAACTTTTGAAACTTCCATTGATTTGCAAGGGCTTTCTCTGTAGACACACAAAATTTTTTGCATTTAAGTCATAGGAGTTGATGTAAAGTTCT